ATATGTGTACATGAGCAGTGACATGTGTGCATGGAAGGGGACATGTGTGCATGGATGGGGACATAAATGGGGTATGGAAGGGGACATGTGTGCACACATGGGGTCATGGGTGTATGGAAGGATACATGTGAGCATGCATGGGGACATGTCTGCTTGGACAGTGGACTGCCCCTGTTGTCACGGGTCTGACAGGAAAACCTTCACACTCACACAGCAGGTATGGAAGCAGGGCTGGGTGTGTCTTGAACACAGGAAATTGTCTGTTTCAGTGCCTTCTGCTTCATCTGCTTTAAATAGATATGAGCAGGCCATTGTCTCTCTTAGGGCAGCTTTGACTCTCTGAGCTCAGAATGGTGGTGCACAGACTCACAGCTCAGAGGGTCCAGGTGGGCTGGCCTGTAGACTTTCTCCTCTCTGTGGTTCTGCCCCTGCTCTCTGATGGATACATCTCAGCAGACAAGTCCAGATCACTCTTCCCATGCCCTGGCTCCCGGGACTCCCTGCTGAGCAGCTCCCAGCCTAACCCCACAGAACCCCACCAGCCACATGGCTCTGACCAAAGAACTTCTAACCTCTGAGGTCAACTTGCAAAGTGAAGCTTTGGGTTTTCCCTCTATCCTGTCCTCAGCAGCTTTCCAGACATGCGTGGGTTTCAAAAATATGAATGCCACAAGCCTTGTCTCTCATCTCCACTGTGGGGGAAAATATGAACACCCCCACTGTGAAGATTTCCTTCTCGAAGCCAAAGTTGTGCTGGGCTTTGCCGCGTGTGGGGCACTGGGAGGCTGCATGAAACCAGGGAGGATAAAGAGAGAGAAGGAAAAGATGCTGTTGGAGGCTGAGGCCTTTCACCCGACTCACCAGCTCCAGCCCTGCCCTGGCCTGGGTCTCCCTGCATGCAGGCCCAGCGGACCACCCACCTCGGCCTCTCGGGATGGCCATCCACTTCAAGTGAGATGGTCCACATCTGCAAAGGACCACATCTCCGGGACCCGGTGGAACACGGTCACAACGTTGTGCCCCAGAAGCAGGCACGCATCCTGGCAGGGCTCTGGGCCATATATATCCGAGGCAGCAAAACAAAGATGAGTTCTTGCCCAGCCTTGCAGTAAATGTGCAGGGCCAAAGCTGCTTAAGGGGTAGGCCTGAGGATTTCTGTGCCGTTATCCACATCTCTTTACCTAGGTTTAAGTTAGACAGCCCCCCTTAGTAAAATGACATTTCCCTAGAAAGAGAGGATGCTTCTCTGGATTCCTGAGACCATTTCTGTGGACATTGTCAATTAGCATTGCTAATTTTACATGAGAAATGTGGAGATGCTTCAAGTTGGAGCTGATAGTATTCAACTTTCTGCCCAGAGGTAAAACTACCTCACAGACATCTTGTAAGGAAAGCTTCATCAGTGTGCAGGTTTTCTGCTTAAGCCTTTGGGGAAGTTTTCCCAATAGTGACCAGGTAAAGTTGTGCTCTGGGAGCAAAGTGGGGAAAAGAAGGTTGATAAGGAAATCTTAGCAGCCTGCAATGCTTCATCACCATGTTGATCCAGTCACTAAGATTTTGACGTCTACTTTCTCAGGGCCCTATAGGAATCTTCCCTTTTCCATCTCCCAGGATGCTTTGGAAATTTGTCATGGCTCTTAAGAGTAGTGTCAGTGGTAGTACAGCCATGGCAGTAAGAGGGAAGGTAGAGAATATAGGCATCAGTATAACCATGTTGAGTGTGAGTGAACACTGTTGCTTTTATTTCTCTAAGCAAAGAGGGAATTGACCTTGAGTAACTATGCAAAAGATAACTTTGGGAGTTAGCGGAAGACAAAGATATGTGAGAAAGCTGACAAGGCAGGTATCCAATCCCAGCACGATTGCTGGTTTCTTAATTACTTTATGAAACTAATGGTTCTATAATTTTAGAGAAATCAGCAAGTGCACACATTTATTCATTCCATTTGGCAATGTTGGTGCAGGCACCGTTGGGTTTAATCAGGATTGTTGCTCATGTGCAAAGGAGTTCATGTTATATGCAAGGAGTGGAGTAACAGGAATGACCTTTTTAATATTTTCATTTATTATCATTGCATAATGGTTCATGTGCTTTGATGTTCTTCTGTACAATGCTAAGAATTGGAAAAAATACTGAAAGGAAATTCTTTTGAATTCTTTTTTTTGAAATTTAATGAAATTTTTATCTTTACAATACTAAAATATTTTAGGTTGGATTATAAATTTACTACATGAGCATATTCCATATTAGATCTAGAAAATGTAATCACTGAAAAAATACCATTTACAGTAGTAAACACTTTTTAATAATCATACCAAACTTCTCACTAAACCATGCAATGTAAAAATGAAGGTATGGGGCTGGGAGGTTGGCTCAGTGGTAGAGTGCTTGCCTTGCATGCATGAGTCCCTGGGTTCACTTCCTCAGTACCACATAAGCAGAAAAAGCCTGGCGTGGAGCTGTGGCTCAAGTGGTAGAGGGACAGTGCCCAGGCCCAGAGTTCAGGCCCCATGACAGATTTAAAAAAAATAAAATTAAATAAAAAAGAAGGTATAAATTATGTCTCCCTCCCCAAAAAAATACATAGACAAACAAAAAGAACACAGAAAATATATACACTTAAAAATAAATAATGCAAAATAATACTCTTCAAGATATTTTTAGATAAAAAGGAATTGTATTGTACATAGTATTAGGAAATCTGCATTTTTATATGGAGAACATTGAGACTATATTTCTAAGTCAAAGAATGATGTACTTTTGATTCTCACCTGATCAAGGTGGGAATTGAAGGTATGTGTGGAGTAAAGGACAAATCAGTGCTAGATTTAATGGATTGTATATCCTGGTTAGGTGGTGTCATAGATAGGAGCTGAAAGAGAAGAACTGGATGGAAAGTGGGAATGGAAGTTTGAAATAGATTTTAATAGCATTGTAGTGATCAGACCAAGGGTGTGATTTTAGCTGTGGCTGAGGTAAGGTAGAAACTGTGATCATTGAAGAAAACGTAATTGAGAACTGTCACTTTGATGACAGTTGAGTTGAAAAGTATGAGTGTGCCAAGAGTCCACGTCTTCAAGGAGGGGAATGGCCTAGGATTCTGTAGATGACTAGAATCAAGAGAGGGTAGGAAGTGATCACAATTGTATTTAATCACTTATGGGATTTTTGGAGAAGAGAAGTCATCCAGAAATGCCAGGGAATATTAAAGAGGACATCTGCTTTTCTCAGTAGTAATAGTGCAGTGGACTGCAGTTTGCAAATGGGCCTTCTCCTGAGAATATTACAGGGAAGTAGTGTGAGAAGCACCTTTCAGAGGAAAGAATAAAGAAATGGGGCATTATGGTGATTAACTAACTGTGATTTCCAGTGGCACAGAAGAAGGGTTTCAAAAGTAATGAGTGGTAGAGATGCTTCATTAGTGGGTCACGCGCAGGAGGTAGCAGTTCCTGGGTTCCTTCTGGTGACTGATACCACCAGGGATGTAGGATGCTTTGCTGTTTTCAGGATCTAAGTTGGGTAAGTAGGGTGAGAAGTCTTTTCAGGAGCTTTTGCACTTCTGAGACTTTCTTCTTCCTTAACTGGTTGCATAGAGGTTGGAAGTCAGGGCCGTTTTAGTGTTGGAGCATTAAGAGCCTAGGGCATCAAAAATCTTGACCTTCCAGTTTGGGCATTTACTACTGTGAGAATGGAAGTTTGTGATTTGTGTAAGATCCTAGGAACTCAGGTTTAATTAAATGCTAAGATGTCTTATTGCAAATGATTTGCACTTATTTGACTATCTTTTTTTCTCTCTCCTTGCTTTGTCAATAAATTGTATGAACCTGGGACTTAACCAAAAAAGGATTATTTTGGGGGGGGCAGTCCTGGGGCCTGAACTCTGGGTCTGGGTGCTATCCTTCAGCCCTTCAGTTCAAGGTGAGTGCTCTACCACTTGAGCCTCAGCACCACTTCCGGTTTTCTGGTATTTAATTGGAGATAAGAGTGTCACGGACATTCTTGTCTTGGTGGGCTTTGAACCGTGATCCTCAGATCTCAGCCTCCTGAGTAGCTAGGATCACAGGCATGAGACTGGCACCCAGCCAATAAAAAGGTTTCTTTTGGCTTAATGATTTCCTTTGCTTGGAAACACGAAGCCCTCCTTCCACTGAACTTTCCTGGCTCCCTTCTCTCCTTCTCATTTCTTTCATCTTGGGGAGGTGAGTATGGTCCAAATTGTGCAGAAAGGAAAGCTGTTACCAGGTAGAGGTGGCCTAAGACACAAGGATCACTTAGGGAAGATGAAAAATAGAGCCTCTTACTGTAACCCCTTTGTACATCATTTTAATTTAAAAAATAAAAATAGGCCTTATGCCCTCAGGACCCAGAATCTGAAAGGAATACACTTTTTTGGGGGCCAGTCATGGGGCTTGAAGTCAGGGCCTGGGTGCTGTCCTTGAGGTCTTTCACTCAAGGCTAGTGTTCTACCATTTTGAGCCACAGTGCCACTTCTGGCTTTTTCTGTTTATGTTGTGCTGAGGAATTGAATACAGGGCTTCATGTATGCTAGGCGAACACTCTGCCACTAAGCCACATTCCCATCCTTATTTATTTATTTTTTTTTTAGTACTAAGGCTTGAACTCAGGGCATTGTGCTCTGAGCTTTTTTTTTTTTTTTTGGTCACGGATGGTGTTCTACCACTTGAGCCATGCCTTCAATTCAAACTCTTCGCACAGCTATACTTTTAATGTTGTATGTGTTCTGTCTTTATTGTCTCCTTCCTTTCTGAAAAGTAAGTCTCTTGTTCAAAGAAAAGATAGGAAAATATTTAGAATATGGAGTAAAAGTGGACCTTTTCATTTCACCTATTTCTTTGAAAATACTCATGTTCATTCCTCTTCTGCTAGGTAAATATTATAACTAAGAGATTATTTAAAAGATTTTAGTCAGAGATCTAGGTTTATTTTATTCTGAAGATGTGTTTTTAATATTCTGCCATTGTTATCTGTTTTATCCTAGGTTTTGCTACATAGACTGGCAAGTTTTCATCGAGTTTGGAGTTTTCCACAAATGAAAATACAGGAAAGGAAGTGACCTGTCTGGCTTGGAGACCAGATGGCAAACATAATAATAATAATAATAATATAAAAAAGATTTTCATTTTCATAAAGAGTATGCTGAATATAAAGTCTGTTTTCAGAAAGAAGTAATTGGTCTGAGAAGGTGGCTCAGTGCTTGCCTTGTATGCATGAGGCCCTGGGTTCGATTCCTCAGGACCACATAAGCAGAAAAAGCCGGAAGTGGGACTGAGGCTTAAGTGGTAGAGGGTAGCCTTGAGCTGAAGAGCTGAGGGACAGCTCCCAGGCACAGAGTTCAGGCCCCAGGACCAGAAAAAAAAAAGAAAGAAAGAAGTAATTATTCTTAATAAATACTAGAATTACGAATGACAGTTTGGAATTTAAAAAAATAATTTTATTATTATGTTGCTGTACAGAGGAGTTACCACTTCATTTCAGATAATGAGTACACTTCTTCTATTGGACGGTGTCAGGCTTTCCTTTGGATTTTTTGTTTTTTGTTTTTTTGGTCCAGTCATAGGGCCTCAACTCTGAGCCTGGGTGCTGTCCCTCAGCTCTTCAGCTCAAGGCTAGCACCCTACCACTTGAGCCACAGCACCACTTCCTGATTTTTCTGTTTATGTGGTGCTGAGGAATCGAACACAAGGCCTCATGCATGCAAGGCAAATGCTCTACCACTGAGCCACCTTCCCAGCCCTAAATTTGTATGTTTATAATTAAAGAGATATTTAATTATCAAGATTATCAGTGTAGGGGCTGAGAAGGTGGCTCAGTGGTAGAGCACTTGCCTTGCATGCATGAGGCCCTGGATTCGATTCCTCAGCACCACATAAGCAAAAAGAAAAAGCCAGAAGTGGTGCTGTGGCTCAAGTGGTAGAGTGCTAGCCTTGAGCTGAAGAGCTGAGGGACAGCACCCATGCCCAGAGTTCAGGCCCCCATGACCGGACCCAAAAAAACCCAAAAAACAAAGATTATCAACGTATATTCTGGTTGTAAACAAGTGTCACATAATCCAATATTGGGCAAAATTAGATTTCTTTTATTTTTGGGGGGGTGCCTGATTGTGAGGCCTGAACTCTGGGCCTGGGCGCTGTCCCTCGGCACTTCAGCTCCAGGCTAGTGCTCTACCACTTGAGCCACAGTGCCACTTCTGGCTTTTTTCTTTTTTCTTATGAGGTACTGAGGAATCAAACCCAGGGCCTCAGGCATGCAAGGCAAGCGCTCTACCACTGAGCCACCTTCCCAGCCCCGTCCTTTGGAACTTTTTTTAATGATTTAACATTTTTCACAGGTCGAATTCTGTCTGTTGGAGATACCTCTTTGGAAAAATCTGGCTTCTTGGCAAAGATAACTGCAGTAAACTCTAACTTTGTTCTTTCTATACTCCTGTCCTCTACCCTTTGGTCAAGCACCAGCTGCCGTTTGCCAGTCTAATCAGTGCCATCATGGCCTTTTACCCAGAAAATATTTTAGCGGTAATTGTACAGGCTCGTAAGCATTCTTATGAATATGTATGAATGAGTGTGAATATGATATGCATAATGTAAATAAGTAGGTCACACATAAGGACCCCCTGCTCTGACTCTAGTTCTTTCATTTCTCTGTGGTCTTTTGCCTCTTGCTACCTCTTCTATCGTGGCTGGTAGGGCTATGATGACTGAACTTCTCTGCCAGGTGTATCACAGTGACAGTCCTTTTCTGAGCTATGGTACAAATACAGTCAGCACTGTAAACTACTAAATCCTAGTGTCAACTTTGTCTGCATCATTAGTACTCTAAGAAAAAAGCGAAATTCTTTTTTTAAGTGAATATATATTCTTCATTGTTTAATTTTTTTCTAGGTAATATAAGGACTTAAAATTCTTTGACGGGCTGGGAAGGTGGCTCAGTGGTAGAGCACTTGCCTTGCAAGCATGAGGCCCTGGGTTCGATTCCTCAGCACCACATAAGCAAAAAGAAAAAAGCCGGAAGTGGTGCTTTGGCTCAAGTGGTAGAGTACTTGGAATAACTCTGTGTAATTACTCCTTAGATTAATTACTAGATGTAAAATTTCCAAAAATGCTTTCAAATTGTATAGTCATTCTGTACTCCTTTTACTCAGAATATGAATAGAATGTGTATAAAGCTAGAGGGTTTTTGAAACTTTTTTCTTTCTTCCTATATTTGTGGATTGAACTCAGGTCTTTCTGCATGGTAGACATGTTCTCTACTGATAAATCTATAGCCTTAAAAACCTATGTCTCATTTTTTTGACTAGCATATTTTTTGTTAGGTAATGATTATTTTAAAATTATTTTCTCCTCTTAAGAGCTAGAGCTCCCACATCCAGCAAAGTTGATTATAGTTGTATGCAATGAAACTCATTTCTCCTATATTGGAATCCTTAAGTTGGGGGTATGTTTAAAAAGACATTTATGCTGGGCTTTGGTGGCTCACACCTGAAATCCTACCTGCTCAGGAGGCTGAGATTTAAGGATCTGAAGCCCGCCTGGGCATAAAAGTCCATGAGACCCTTATCTCCAGTAAACTACTCATAATACCACAGAAATGGCGCTCTGGCTCAAGTGATAGAGCACTAGCCTTGAGCACAAACTCAGGGATAGCACACAGGGCCTGAGTTAAAGCCCCAAGACTGGCAAAAACAAGAAGACATAAGTAGAGAAACTGTACTAGGTATTTCATCCCCAGTCAGATGAAGAGGATGCATGAGTGTTTGCTAGTCTGATTTTTCCACTGTGGGATGGAAACAATAAAAACCAGTCCCAGCCGGCTGCCTTCCGCTGAACGCAGCGCCTGCCTGGGCCCAAGGGCAGTGCCCCGTGGCTGGCCTGAGCAGGGCTGGGGATGCAGGCTAGGAGGCTGGTCAGGTCGGGGGCTGCCCGAGCCCGAGCCCGCGGGCGGCGCCCTAAGCATGGACGTGCCGGGCCTGCTGGCACAGCTGGCGCGAAGCTTCACGCTGCTGCGGCCGGTGTACGCGTTCGGCTACCTGTGACTGAGCTTCAGCTAGGTGCTGCGGGCGCTGGGCCTGCTCACCAAGTGCAGCCGGAGCGGCAGCCTGAAAGCCAGCTGCCTATGCCGCGTGCTGGCGCTGCTGGAGGAGGAGGAGCTCACGGCGCGCCTGGGTGTGCGCGCCAGCGACCTGCCGGCCTGGGTGAGTGCGTGGGGCCAGGGCTGAGACCCGGGACCGACCCGAGACCCAGCCTGGGACCCGGCCCCGAGACCCCGCCCCGACCCCAAGACTCGGCCCCGGCCCAGACCCCGAAATCCCGCCCTGGCCCCGACCCTCCCTGAGACCCCGCCCGGGAGACCAGACCCCGAGACCCCGCCTGGGCCCGACCCCGAGACCCCGCCTGGGCCTGACCCCGAGACTCGGCCCTGGCCCTGACCCCGAGACCCCGCCTGGGCCCGACCCCGAGACCTGTGGCCGGCAGGTCGGGTTCCTCCGGGCCAGCCCCCTCCCTGTGGCCTGGCTCCCCTGCCGGCCCCCGGCCCGGAGAGGGCGGGCGTAGGGGCCGGTCAGCGCTGCACGCTCCCCGCGTCACCCCTCCTCCCCTTCCTCCCTTCGGCGCCTCACCCGCCCAGGGCGGGGTCTGCTGGTCGCTCTCCCTGGCCGTATCCGCACCAGCGCGGGAGCGCCCTGGCATCCCAACTCCTGAGCCGGCCGGGACGCTGGAGGCGGGGAGCCCGGGCCCCTGCGGGGAGGCGGGAGGCGGGGAGCCCGGCCCGGCGGGAGGCGGGAGGGAGCCCTGGTGCCAGCCGCCCGGGGGCTTGCGCACCGTGCCGCAGCCGGGCTGGGTAGGTGGCTCAGCGCTGAAGAACTGAGGAGCAGCGCCCAGGCCCAGAGTTCCAGTCCACAACCACAACAAACACAAGTAGTGGAGTGGCACCCTGGGAAGCCCAGCCTGCCTTTGCGTGCATGTGCTGGTGGCTTTTCTTCTACTGGCCAGGAAAACGTGGACGCTGGCCTGGAAGGCGTAATTAGAGAGTATTGCCTCTCGGAGGAGCATCGTTCCTGCTTGAGGCTTCAGTGCGCGAGAGGACCTTACTTCACATCCAGTTCTGGGCATGCTTGGTCCTCACTGCTTTAAGTGGTGCTTGCTCATCTTTCACTTGCTTTCTTCCACCCAGGGAAAGACCTGGGAGGCTTGGCACGTAGAGGATAGTCTTTTGGTTGTTTTGCTGTCATTGGAGTTTGAACTCAGGGCTTTGTGCTTGTAAAGCATGTGTTCTATTGCTTGAGTAATTCTTCTGGCTCTTTAAGCTTTTATTATAGAAGTGACTCCTCTGTGTCAATGGGGGTTGTAGAAAATTATACTCTGAATGAAGAATATTCGTGTGTGTGTGTCCTGGAACTTGAACTCTGCTTTTAGCTCATGGCTGATGCTTTACCACTTGAGCCACACCTCAGTTTTGCTAATTGGAGGTAGAGTCTCTCAAACTTTTCTGCCCTGGCTGGCTCTCTCAAGTATCTCAGATTATAGGAGTGAGTTACAGGTACCTACCTTGAAAAATGTTTACAGAGATGAATGAAGATATTATTCCATTTTGCATATTTGAAAAATTAGAACCTTAATATAGCTAAGATGTATGACTCTTACTGTTGTCATTAAATGTTGATGTTATGGCTTCAAAATATAGAAACCAAACCTGTCATTAAAAAAAACACAATAAAAACCTTCCAAGAACACAACAGATGGGATCGCTTGTTTTGTTTTTGTTGTTGTTGTTTAAACTAATGTTTATGGAACCAGTTTGATGATACAGTAAATTGTGTGTTGAGTCCTGGGCTGTATTTTCTACTTGACAATAGAGCTCCAATCTAGAGACTTTGATATTTAAGATATTTGATACATGAGAAAATAGTAGATTGCTTATATGGTTCTGAGCACTTAAAAATATGATAACCTAACTGTTTGCAGAGATCTCTTTAGTTTATGAAATAGGAGGGATCTTTTTTTTAAACTGTGAAAATACCGTACAGAGGGGCTACAATTACATGGGCAAGAATGAGTACATTTCTTATCAAGCATTGTTGTCTTCTCCTTTGTTTCCCCTAGGAAGGATCTTTAGGTCAAGTAATTTCTATGACTGTTTTTCTCAAATAGTACACTAATTTATTCTGGTTATCTGCTTATTTTGTTTTAGTTTTGGCCTTTGCTCTTGGTGACACCAAGAAAATTATTTTGTGTGGTGTGGAAAAACCTGAAAGCTTGCACTCTTTTTCTGTGGAGGCTCCAGTTTCCTGTATGCATTAGATGGAAGTGATTGTGTGAAGTAGGTAGAGTGACCAGAGATACCCTACTCATTAAATTGTTAGAACCTTGTTTGTGGGTGGGTGTGACAGGTCAAGGCTAACTTTGATTTGTGATCCTCCTGCCTCCGCTGGAATTTCCATTTATTAGGATGGAAATGAGTGTCTTAAATATTATGAGCATGTATACATTGCATTTAAATTTTGTTCAGTTTATCAAGATAAAATTTGTTTTTAAATATGATTTTACTTTGTTATATAGAGAGGGGTTACCATCTCACAATTCAGGTAATGCATACATTTCTCTTTTGGACAATGCCACTCCTTCCTTCACTTCCTTCCCCCCTCTGTTTTCCCTTCCTGAAGATAAAATATTTTAATACTTCGTTTTCTTTTTTTCTGAAAACATTGTTAGTACAGTAATGACGCCTGAAAGGTTAAGATTATTCTCCTCTTTGGAATTATTTTTTTTAGTTGATTTCATTGATGTATACATTAAATAAAATTACTAGTTGGGTGTGGTGGTAATCTCACCTTTTAAGAGATTGGTGCAAGAGAGTTGTCAATCCTAGGCCACGTAATAAGTGAGTGAGCGTGTCTCAAGAGCAGACAAAAGCAACAATAAATTTACTGACTGGGAAATTGAGGCCCCCCCCCTCTCCTGTTCTGTCAAGTTATTTTGTCAAGAGTCTGGTCTTCTGTGTCTTAGTAAGTATTCTGATAGTAAGGAAAACACTAAGTTGAGCATTCTGTTCTGATGCTGCATGGGTTATTTTTCTTGTATCCAGGAATCTGGTCTTTTCCTTGTCTAATGAAAACCCTTTGCCTTACTCTGTGTAGCCAAGTAAAGCTTACAGTAAAGGTAGACTGAGGGGCTAGTGAATCTGGGTGATGTTGAATTTGGGGAAGGGAGGATTAAAAAATTTACTTTTCTGCAGGGAGCCTGTGGCTCACGCCTGTAATCCTAGTTATTCAAGAGGCTAAGTTCTGAGCATCACCGCTCAAAGCCAGCCTGAGCAGGAAAGTCCATGAGACTCTTATCTCCAATTCACTACCACAAAACCAGAATTGGCGCTGTGGCTCAAGTGGTAGAGCACTCGCCTTGAGCTGAAGAGCTGAGGGACAGCATCCAGGCTAGAGTTCAATGCCCAGAATTCAAGCCCCACTACCAACCACCCCATCTAAAAAAAATACTTTTTTTCCCTCACCTCCTCCTTACTGATTAAATTTTACTAACTTGATATCAAATAAATTTATAAATCCTGACTGTTAACTGACAACTTGATGAAGGGCCTGAAAGAAATAGATAACAAGGTGGTAGCCTGGCATTTGAAATATACATGAACCCACAGGTAATCAGTGAATCTTCTAGAAAGTGAGAGAAGCAGACCATATGTGTACTTCCTATCCCGGCTCACTTACTTGCTAACTGTGTTCTCAATACTTGGTACTCATGGTTTAGAATTGTTTCCTGTTAAGTCTAGAAACTCAGGACAGCTACTTTGTGTAAAAGTGTGAAAAATACTTCTAAGTTCCCATTCTTTCATTTGCTAGCTTATCTGTTTCCAGTCTTATTTGAGAATGACAAGGGGAAATAAACCTATTTATAAGCCAAGCTCAGTAGTACATGCCTATAAACCCACATGCTATTATCCCAGCTACTGAGACTGTTGCAAAGTTTATGATATAGTCTCTTGTACCTGCTGTCTTGTCAGATGGCAAATGTATGTAAGCCATAGAACCAGTAATTAAATGATATATTAATTGCACTGTTCTCTAAAGTTACTTTTAGTAGTAAAATTTCTTAGATTTGAGTTAAAAAATCATATATTTTCAGTATCCCAATACTGAGTATATATGAACGGTGGATTTTTTGTGTGTTTTTGTTTTCGTTTTTATCTGTCATTAGAGCTTGAACTCAGGGTCTAGGCGCTGTTCCTAAGCTTTCATGGTCAAGGCTAGTGCTCTGTTACTTTGAGGCACAGCTCCACTTCCTGTTTTCTGGTGGTTAATGGGAGACAAGAGTCCCACAGACTTTCCTGCCCAGGCTGGCTTTGAACCATGGTCCTCAGATCTCAGCCTCTTGAGCAGCTAGGATTACAGGCACCTGGCTGAAGGTATTTTATGCTAAGAAAACTGTTTTTGTTTTGTTTTTGTTTTGGGTCCGGTTGTGGGGGCTGAACTCTGGGCCTGGGCACTGTCCCTCAGCTCTTCAGCTCAAGGCCAGTGCTCTACCACTTGAGCCACAGCGCCACTTCTGGCCTTTTTTCTTCTGTTTATGTGGTGCTGAGGAATCGAACCCAGGACCTCATGTATGCAAGGCAAGCGCTCTACCACTGAGCCACCTTCCCAGCCCAAGAAAACTGTTGAATAACAATAAGTCTATTTGTTTTTACAAACAAAAAAAATTCTGTTTTTATCATTTCTTATTTGTGATTATTAGACAGGTAAACTATTTGTGCCATATCTTTACTTTTTGTTGTTGTTGTTGGTTGTGGGGCTTCAACTCTGGTCCTGGGCTCTGTTCCTGAGCTCTTTAGCTCAAGGATAGCCCTCTACCACTTGAACCACAGCACCACTTCTCGTTTTCTGGTGGTTTATTGGAGATAAGAGTCTCATTGACTTTCCTGCGTGGGCTGGCTTTGAACGGTCATGCTCATATTTCAGCCTCCTGAGTAGCTAGGATTATAGGCATGAACCATGAGCTAGGGTGTCTGGCATGTTTACTTCTTAATGTTATGGAAGGAGTCTTTAAAAATAGATATTTTTAATAGAAAGAGAAGTAACTTTTTACTGTTTGTGTAATGCCTGGTTCCCCTTCCTTTTAGTGTTCTAACATCTTTCTATAATGCTGAAGATGACTCAAACCTTCTCTTACCTAAGCTGCCCACGTTACCAAAAAAATAAGTATCAGAGTTGTATTTCTTTGGACTTAATCTTGCAGGTTAATCTGCTTTAAATACTGGTACATACTTCTCTCATGAGTATCATTTTACCTTTGTCTCTCTTTTCTGTCTGTTATAGCAGCACCTCAAAAATATTTAGATAAGATATACTTTTTTGTTGTTTTCAAATAAAATAATGTTTTTTTAATTGAAAGAACATGGTTGAAAGATGAGTCAATTTATTTTTATATTGTAGTGAGGAGAATTCTGATGAAATTATTAAACTCTTGGGAGATGTCAGGTAAATCTAATTTAAATAAGTCTGATTTCTTTAAGTCACTTTTCATATTGGAGGAACATTTCCAAATTTTCAGGAGCAAATCTTTCATTATGTTATCTCATTGTAGACACTCAGTGTCTTCAAATAATAGATGTCACCATCTTGCTGTTTTTACTGTGTGCTCATTCTTTGTTTCATGTGTTAGCAGTAATGCAGTATACTTGTTTTTAATAAGTAAAAGGGGATAGTACTAGAATTTTAAAAATTTCGATTTTAATTATCCAAGTTCTTCATTGTGTAATATCCATGATAAAACTGTTTTGTTATTGGCTGTATGTGAATACAATTATTAGTATGTTATGTTACTATAAATGCTTAATGTTAGCTATAAGAAATATATATTGTTCTTCGGAAACAAAAGAAATGGCCTGCTGTGATTGAATATTGAGAGTTGCTGTGTTTGCTTAGTGTATCAGTTTTCCCTGAAGAGGAATTTTAGCACTCAGATTAGATGAAAGCAGTAACAATTGATATTTTGGCTAAAAGAATCACAGTCATCTAAAAGAGAGAAGAGGAACCAGCAGGAGGGAGAAAGGAAAAAGAGATGGTGAGGGAAGGTGAATATATATGTATGACAATACCATCATGAAACCCTCCAGAAACTTAGGAAGGAATAGATAGGGAGGGAGGATAGTTAAGAAAGAGTAATATAGATTAGGAGTAAATTTGATTAAAGTATATTATATTCATGTTGTAAATATCATAGTGTAACACTTTTGTACTATAAGTTCATGCTAATTATTTTTTAAAGATAGTGTAGAAATAAAATCAACAAATATAAAAAACACCCACAATCATCTGTGTTGTTCACTGGTTCTCTGCTTGTTACATTTTTTTATTAGATTAAATATTCTTGTCTTTGGAGGAAGCTCTGCATTTATTGAGCTTTATGCTTATGGGATATTCAAAATTGCTCGAGTCACAGGGGTGAGTTTTTCTTTTAGGTTTCCTGTATTACTTCTCTTAAAACATAGTGGCTAGTTTACTTATGGAATAAGAATAACATAGTAAGTTTTCTTATTTTTCAGTTTCAATTTGTTTTTAAATAATTAGAGGATTTTTTAAGCTAAAATAATGATGATATTACTATAGAGAAGAGAAACTTTTGGTGGTATTAGTCAAGCTTTTTTCCTTTAATGAAAAGATTGATCTGATCCACTTGACTGTGATTTAACTGGAGCCTAATGAAAGCTATCGGAAGCCACTCTTTGTTGAGTACTGAGTCTCCTACTACTGCTAAATCAGTCTTCTCCATAGTCTTTTTCATCTCGCTCTCACAATTCCCCAAGATGTAGACAATATCATAGCCTTCAGGGCATTTGTATGTTCATCAACCTTTGATGTGCAACTGTTGATGGGATTGGAATCAGAAGTTTTGATGTTTATAGGTCTTTGTGAATAGGAGGAGCCCTTTACCTGCTTTACCTATACCTACCCTTACCTGCTACATGAGTATTGCTGAAACCAGAAGTGTGTGTCACAGTTTTCTAAAGTTGTGTATAAATTGTTGCTTCCAGTATTACAAAGTGCACCCTAGCACTGATACCACATGTATGAGGGTGTGTGATTATTTTGCAGATTGCTGGCACTTGTCTTGCATTGTGTCTATCAAGTGATTTGAAGTCCTTATCAGTGGTCGCAGAGGTTTCCACTGGAGGTGCTTCAGAGGTTTCATACTTCCATGTATGTACTGGAATTTCATAATTGTAGAGATTAAGAATATGTTTTAGTTTTTCTGTTGTTTTTTTAGGGGTGGTTGGTGCTGAGGTTTGACAGGACGTATTTTTAGCATGCTGTCCACCACTGAGCTGGGTCCCCACCCCTGTGGGTTTGTATCCATGTCTCACTGTATTCTAATGGGCAGCAAAATAAAACATCTACTTGGAGTTTCTAAATTGTACATATTGAATGCTGTTGTAGTACTATTATTTTCCACATAAAAACAATGTTTTGATGATCATGGCTCTACAAATTGGTTCCTATAACAGAATTTCTTGGTTTTGAGCATTTTCTTGGGACTCAGTTATTAGTAATAATAAGGGCTGATATTCATCATTTATTATATGCCAAGTCCTTAATGCCTTAAACACAACAACGTATGGATAGGCACTGTTATTAACTGAAGAAAGTACTGGGCACATACAAAAGCTCATAATTGGAAAGTGATACTAGGCAGTTTGCCTTCAGGTTCTGTGCCTTTTTCTCCTTCTAATGAGAGTAAGGCTTACTCTGTAATCCAGACTGGCCTAGAACTTCAGGTTCTCCTGCTTTAGCCTCCCAAGTGTTGGGATTACAGGTGTGCACCATTAGGCTCTGCTCGTAACACATGCTTTTTGTGTAAAACATTTAAGTATTGGTGAGGGCTCTTTTATTGTGTGTAGCATACATAATAAGATTAGGAAACTGTTTGGGCTCCTGTTATGTAGATTGTACCTTTGCTTTCCAAGTAAACTTCCCCAGTGTTTCCTCTGAAAATCCTATATGTTTATCCTAAGTATGTGTGAATTTTCAAACAAAGTAGAACAAAAGGATAGAAGATGTGAGGACTGCTTAATGTCTTCAATAGCATGCTGTTCAGTGTTCCAGAGCACCCTAGACATAGAATTCACAAGAATGGTGGTACACATTTGTGTCTTCAGGCTGAGAAACTGTGATCACTAGCCTGTATTTGTGCTATAATAGAGCAACTCTTTTTTTTCTGTGAAATTTGTAAAAGTTTTTTTTTTTTGTCCTGGGGCTTGAACTCAGGGCTTGGGCACTGTCCCTGAGCTGCTTTTACTCAAGGCTGACACTCTACTACTTGAGCTACAGTGCCACTTCTGGCTTTTTCTGTTTATGTGGTACTGAGGACTCAAATCTAGGGCTTCATGCATGTTAGGCAAGCACTCTACCACTAAGCCACATTCCCAGCTAGTAACAGATTTTTTTTAAATGACAACTTCTGTGTGATATAACTGGTAAGGGGTATTTTATTTGTTTTTACCAGTAATATTTTAATGCATTTTGATGCCTTCCCTTGATTCTGATGCCTCCAACTTGGTTATGTTTAAAAGGGGCAGAATTCTGATTTGGTCTTCCTGATACTTAGTTAGATCTTTGCTCCTCTTTAAGTTAGAGGATGCAACACTTGTGTGCATGCACGTGTGTGTGTGGGGGGGGAACAATTTATCTTTAAAAATGTAAATACATCTGACTATGACTCAATTTATTCTTGTTTTTCAGCTTGAAACCAATCTGCTCTACTCCTTCTTACCTGAAGTAACTCGGATGGCCAGGAAGTTTACTCACATTTCAGCTCTGTTTCAGGTATTTATTCATCACTTGATTTCTAGAAGTATTTACTATAACCTTTGTAATTTTATTTTTTAAAACTAAAGGCAGTTGGATATCTATTCTGCTAATCTTACCATATTTATTAAAGCAAGAAAAAGTAATTTAATTAATCTACTCATCCAATCCTGTTTATCACCTCCAAATGAAAGGGAAAAATAGTCAATCTTTTTAAATGTTCCTATTAATAAAATGTTACTTATACTTTATTGCAAATAAAATAGTCTTTTTATGATTTTAGCTTTTGCTCATAAGAAAGGTACCCCAAATTAGTACATAATTTTGTAGGTTAGCATTTTGGACTAAACTCAGCCAGAAAGTTGTGGTGATCTGTACCTGGTATGGCTCAGGTCACTCAGCCTGATCATGCAAGCTGATATGTGTCCCTGGCTGAAGTGGCTTTGTCTCTGCCCTGCATCCCTCATCTTCTAGCCAGCTAGTCCTGGGTTGTTTCTAGGATAGTGGCAGCAAAGGTTTCAAGAGTACACATTTAGGGCTGGGAATGTGTCTCAGTGGTAGAATGCTTGCCTTGCATGCATGAAGTCCTGGGTTCGATTGCTTAGTACCATGTACATAAAAAAGGCTAGAACTGGAGCAGTGGCTTAAGTGGCAGAGTGATAGCCTTGAACAAAAGAATCACAGGGGCAGTGCTCAGGCCAAGTTCAAGCCCAGGACTGGCAAAAAATTAAATAAATAAAAAGAGTGTAAGTTCAACTGTGGTTGGTGGGACACTTCTATAATCCAGCAATGAGGAGGCTCAGGCAAGAGTATTATAATATCAACTTGAGCTATATAGCAAGTGTGAGGCCAGCTTGGGCTATATAACAAGATCCTGTCTCCCTCTCCCTCCCCTCAAAAAAAGTGCAAGATGTATAAACAACTTGAAGGCCCTGGCCTCAGCAGTGTTGTTTCTGCTATGTTCACTTAGAGCAAGCTATAGGGCAGCCAGGTACAAGGTGAGGAGAATAAGTCAGGATGGAAGAACTGTAAAGAATTGAGGCCATTTTTATCGTTATTGTTCTACCACAGCCATTAATTTACTTGATGGCAAATGTTACTAGGGCTCAGAATCTTTTAAGGGTTCTCTGACAGTTTAATAGTTGAACAAACCAATATTTTGACAGTGTAATAAAACACAGATTAAATAATAAAATGTAAAAGATGTTTGTTTTACTAGGTACAGAAATGTTCGTTTGAAATGAAGGAAAGGGTAACACTGTGCAAAAAGAAATATACTCATTACCTTTCTTATGTAACTGTAACCCCTCTGTACATCACCTTTAAAATAAACTTTAAGTATAAAAAAGTTTCTTTGTAAACTTCTAAGAATCATTGATTCTTTGGTAAAAATAGTTGTTACCAAACAGTTAGACCCTGGTGGCTTACACCTGTAATCCTAGCTACTTAAGAAGCTGAGATCTTAGGATCATGGTTCAAGGCCAGCCCAGGCAGTAAAGTCTATGAGACTCTTAGCTCCAATTAACCACCAGAAAATAGGAGGTAGCACTGTGGTTCAAGGTGGTAGGGAGCTAGCCTTGAGCAAAAGAGCTCAGGAACAGTCCCCAGACCACAAGTTCAAGCCCTACAATTGGAAAAAAAAGAGGTTACCAAAGGTTAGCTATGGTCTTCTCTTTTCCTTTGGCTTAACTAAGCTAATTAGGGTGATTGAAAGTAAGTTCTGGATTTCTTTGTGACCTTAAGAAGCACATATTAGGTAGAATGTGGGTTTAAAATATTTTCTTCTTTTTGCTAATAGTATATAAATTTGTCACTGACATGTATGTGTGAAGTATGGGAAGAAATACTGATGCAGATGGATTCTTGTCTCACTAAGTTTGTGCAGGTAATGTAGCTGACATTTCCTGTGGAAAGAGTTTAAAAGTCTATTTGCTTCATATGCTATATGAGAAAAGTCAGTTTAATTTATGAAAGGTTAAGACCATAATTTCTTCAGACAGCTTGGCCCAACTACTATTTTCACAGAAAATATTTACAAAAAAGACTCTATATTAGGTTTTGTTACTATAACAAAGTACCTGAACTTGGGTAATATATACAGAAAAGAGGTTTATGTAACTTCCAGTTTTGTAGACTAGAAGTCCCAGATTGTGTGGCTCTGTTATTTTCTTCTCTGGGAGATGGCATCTTGGCAGAGGGATCACTTTGTGACCCAGAACCAGAAAGTGAAGAAGGGTGGTCTTGCTCTTTTAGAACAACACACTCTGTAGGATCTAACCAGGTTCCTATGAGAACTACATTTTCTTCACATAGCAGCACCCCCAGTGACCTAACCACCTCCCAGTATGCCTTACCTCTTAAAGATTCCACTACCTCAGCAACATCATAATACATGAACCGTTGGGGGATAAACCATATCAGATCCATAGCTGACTTTTCCACCATTGGAACAACTTAATGCAGTGGGTAGACTTTGGGAATGAGGAAACTATTGAAACAGCTGACTGGTTGTCTCCAGTCACTGAACCTCAGATGTTTCCTGTATATAAGGGCTTGAGAGAAGACAGAGGAAAGAACAGTGAGTAGATATACTTTATAAGCTGCAAAACATGTATCACATATTTCTTTTTATTTTATCTAGGAAAAGAACACTACCACATCAGTACAGGATGAATTTATGCACTTGCTGTTGTGGGGGAAGGCAAGGTAATAAACCCCTCCTTTTCCTCCCCTCTCCCCTGATTGGTTGTGGGGCTTGAACTCAGGGCCTATGTGCTGTCCTTAAGATCTTTTCACTCTACCACTTTGAGCCACATCCCTGCTTCCAGTTTTTTGAGTGGTTAACTGGAAATAAGACTCTCACAGGGACTTCTCTGTTTGGGCTGTCTTTTTTTTTTCTGTCCTGGAGCCTGAACTCTGGGCCTAGGCTCTGTCCCTGAGCTCTTCAGCTCAAGGCTAGCACTCTACCACTTGAGCCACAGCACCACTTCAGGCTTTTTCTGCTTATGTAATGCTGAGGAATCAAACCCAGGGCCTCATGCATGCAAGACAAGCACTCTACCACTGAGCCCAGCCCTGTCTGGGCTGTCTTTGAATCACAATCCTTAGATAGCAACCTCCTGAGTAGCTAGGATTATAGGTATGAGCCACTGATGCCCTGCTTCACCCCTCTCCCCCCTTTTTAAATCAATTTATTTTAGAAGTAAATAAAAATGAATAATTCATTTGTCCAAATGAAATAGAAAATTATGGTATATAAAGTGTATTAGAAGTATACATCTCTAGGTTTTTGGATACACCCTTTTGGGTTAATGTGATCATTTTGTACAGAAATTTTAGTTTTTATGTAGCCAAACTAAACTTTTTCTTTTTGGTATCTTAGGACTTGCCCCATCTTAACAGCATGAAAAGGTTAATCTGTATTTACTTCTGGAGTTATTTTTTATTGTTTTCATTTATTCTCTCCCGTGTTTCAGATGTGATTTCCGTGGTCTTTGTGGAAACCTCTGCCATCTTTTTCCTAAATGCTTAGATTGGTACAATATGGCTTAGTGAGCATTGCCCTTTGCCTTACTAAGCCAAGTCCTTTTTAATATGCAGTGTATCCTCATGTGTACTAAATTGTGTTAGGGTTATGTTTTTGTTTCTTTTTGTATACAAAAGAAAGTTTTATTTTTTTAAGAAAGTTGTATTTTTGTTGAGGGTAGTATTACTTTGTTCCAAAATCTTGTTTTTTTCTTTGAAATCTATGATTTTAAGCAATGTGTACAGATTTTAGATGGAGAAATGACTAAAATATCCTTTTTCTTTTTTTTTTTTTTTGCTGGTTGTGGGGCCTGAACTCTGGGTCTGGCACTGTCCCTCAGCTCTTCAGCTCAAGGCTAGTGCTCTACAACTGGAGCCACAGTGCCACTTCTGGCTTTTTCTGTTTATGTGGTGCTGAGGAATCAAACCCAGGGCCTCATGCTTGCAAGGCAAGCACTCTACCACTGAGCTACCTTCCCAGCCCCATCCTTTTTCATTGTAGTGCTGAACTTCAGACCCTTTTGATGAACCAGCTAACTGTAAAGGTGCTGTTAAAATATTTGTGCACTTAAGTAGCTGTGAGTGCAGTCTTAATTTTTTTCTTTTCTTTTTTTTGGACTGGCATATATTCTTCTAGTTGAGTGCTAATATATTTTCTTCTCTTAATTAGGGCTTAAAAAAGGTTGGCCAGTCTATAGAGTCATCATATTCCAGTATTCAGAAGTTGGTTATAAGTCATTTGCAGAGGTATAAAGATGATGGGCATTGCTGTGGTCTTTCTGAAAATTTACCTTTATTGTCTGGCATTTTCTTCTGGCTCAAGGCGAGGGCTCTACCATTTGAGCTACAGTGCCACTACCCTGAAATTTTTTTAATAATAATTTTTATTGAGATTAAGTGATTATATAAATTTCACAAATTTCATAGTACTGTAGGATAGTGATACTTTGTTAAAGTCTCAAACACATTTTAACCTTTGCAAGGCAAATTGTCATTATCTTGGTCTATAAAGTTTGTGAATTCTATGAGCTTTGACAATATTTCTTCTGCTTTGGGTGATAAATATATTTCTTTCCTTTTGCTTAGTGTTAGCTGTTCCCTCTTTCCCTCTCATTCTCTCCCTCCCTTGAGTTCTTTAGTTCATTTTCATCAATGTCCAGTGTAGCTGATGGGCCCCTCTGTTATATTTTTTCACCTGTTTCCCTCTGATTCCGTGCCCTCCTCCTAGCTTCCCTCAGATGTGTGCACATATGTACCATATATGAGGTCAAGAACATGGAGTCATTTAGAAATTATATGGCAGATTAAGTAGATGTCCTTGGTTTCTTGAGTCCTGTTTACTTTGTCGTATTTCCCTGCATTTTGGATTTTAACATCTTCATATCAGGGAGAACATGTGCTATTTGTCTCTCTGCTCTTGTCTTACCCCACTCAAACTGATTCATTTTAGTTCCATACATTTCTCTGCGAATACCATTATTTTATCCTTTCTAATGGCATAATATTCCATTCTGTGGGGCATCTGAGTTGTTTCTTTATCTTGGCTATTTATTGTGAATAGTGCCTAGCTGAAATTTTTGCATTGGCATTTGAAGGGGAATCTTGGCACACTCAAGTGTAAAGATTATTTCTGCTTCATGAAATAATTTTTCACTATCTTTTCACCAAGCAAGTTGCCCATCTAGATCACCCCCACTAAACTATAAGGTATAGTTTGAAATAGGGCGTATATTCCTTTTTTTGTTCCACAGAGAAAATTGAGTATGTTGTATATTTTATCATGTAAAACATATTGTATATTTTTCATTCAAAACCCTAGAATTTTGTTCTGAGTCTCATTTTACCAGGATGAAACTGAATTAGTTATATGGCTGGCCCAAAATTAGTACATGGCAGAGCCACAATTCCTTTTAGTGTTCCAGGTCTCATGTTGTTCCTATCCATAGCTGCTTGAGTGACAGATTTACAAGCGGATGCTGAATGTTCAGTTTAAATTTGTATACAACCCGTTATGTAATGCCTTCTGCACTGGTCTTTCTATTCTTTGTTCCACAAATGTCTGGTCTTTTTACTCTTCTTTTTCCTTTTCTTGCAATGCTCTGGGTCAAAACCAGGGTCTTGTATATGCTGGGCAAGCATTCTACTAGGGAGCTATATCCCCATCCCTGTAGAATGTGTATTCCTCAGTAAATCCAATGGAATACCTCTCACAGATGCTCCTGGTCCCTTCTTTTTGATCTTAGAACCAAAATGTTTTTACAGCATTGCCTATTGCTCTTATAAGAGGCCTTCTACTTTCCACACTTGACATTTCCCACTCAGGGATTTGGGGGCCTCCTTCCTTTATGCACACCTGCCTGCCCTGCTCTTGAATCTTCAGCTCTCAGCTCAGTTCACTCCCTCAGAGCAGTTTTCACCAGTCCCCATATTAACTTATATTACACTTATACCCTTGTCCTATGCATTCCCCTCAAGGCATTTATGGCCATTGGGAAGATTACACTGTATGATTGTGTGGTTGTGACCTGTCTCCCCTGTTACGCTGTAATTTCTGTGGTCACAAGGACCTGATTCTTGTCAACTTTCTGTCCCTAGCATCTAGCACAATGTCTGACACAAAGTTGGATCTCAAAAACTATTTGTTTAGTATTGGGTAGATATGAGTGAACAAGATTGCCTACTGGCTGTCTTTAAAGTGCCAAGATTGGGGCTAAGGGGTAGCTTAGTGGTTGAGCACTTGCTAGCTTATGCAAGGCCCCAGCTTCATTCCTAGCATTGCCCCTCCCCCAGATAGTGCCAGGACTGTGAAACATAATTTGATCATATAAAATTTAATCGTATTGTCATGTATATTCATTTCAGTAGATGATAGCCAGATGATTGTGCTTATGTTTACAGAACTAGAGATACAATTTTTAACGGCAAGAAAATTAAATAGTTACCTTAAGTTTTTATTTCTGAAAAATTGGAACTGTCTACCACTGCCTACCATCCTCACTAAGTAATGATACTATGTCTCCTGTTGTGCTAGTGGCTCAGAGTCTTTATTGTATCATTTGAGTGAACTGAAAGGAATGGCTTCATGGAAGCAAAAATACAAACCCCTTGGACTGGATGCTATGGGAATTGAAGGTAGTGACTTAATTTCTCAACAGAATATATTAGATATAGTTTACTTATTAACAAGGACAATATCTTTATATTTTTATATCCTTTTAGATGCTATTGATTGTGAATATTTACATTTGAAATTAATAAGAACCTTACACACATACCTGTAATCCCAGTGCTTGGGATGCTAAGGCAAAAGGATTGTTAGTTTATTTAATCATACAAAAAGTTTCAAGTCTAGGAAATTTAACTTTGATTCAGTTTAATCTATTTATATTTGGCTAGTATGTCCAGTACAGTAAGATACAGTTTAGGAATACATTTTACTTCCTCTCTCTGTTGAGCTGTTTTTCTTTTTCTTTTTTTTTTTTTTTTTTTGGTGCCAGTCTCAGAACTTGAACTCAAGGCCTGAGTGCTGTCCCTGAGCTTTTTTCTCAAGGCTAGCATTCTACCATTTGCTCCATTTCTGGCTTTTGGTGATTAGTTGGAGTGTATCTCCTAGATTTTCCTGCCTGGGATGTCTTTGAAGTGCAGGCCTCAGATCTCAGCCACCTGAGTATCTAGGATGAGGCGTGAACCGCCAGCACCAAGCTTCTCAGACTCTCTTGTCATTCTTGGCTGTTTGCTCTTTGAGCTGCCTGCACTTGGCTTCTCCTGGGGAACTTTGTCACTCACCAGTATTCAGCACTTCTGAAACTAGTTTTAAGATGTTCCTTACTCTTTATTTTTCTAAGTTTATAATACATATGCTTCCTTCTGTTCACTGTCATTATAATTGGGCTCTAGAAAGTGAAAGCTCCAGCACTTGCTAAGAAGACAAATTGAGAGGAGAAATGACATTGCTTTTCCTGTGTTTTGGAATATTTTTGGAATTTACATTTGCTGAGAGCAAATATGAAATACTAAATTTTCTAGGATTACCTCTTACTATGAATAGAAAGTATTTAAATTCTTGATCCTTTCAAGTAGAAAAAATGTCACTACGAAGGGTTACAGAGGGAGGAACAGGAGCAGTGGGGGAGGACTTTAGTGTGGTCTGGTTGTGTTAGGTAGGGGTGAAGGCATTAGTTAGGGAGAACACAGAGAAACTTTGTTTTTCCCTGGTGCTGCAAGAGAATTTTAGTTACCTTACTTGATAACATAGGAGTGCTGCAGTCTTTGATTTCCTAGTAGGGTGATTGATACTGATACACCTCTCAGTGATATTGTGAAACATAAAAAAAAATACTTGTACTGCTGGGAACGTAGCTCATTGGCACACTGTTGTCTAGTATGCACAGGCTCTTGGTTCAGGTCTTAGGACCTCAAGGAAAATCAGTACAGGTATTATTTGCTTACTGTAATTATCACATAGAAGTAACCTTAAAGAGATTGTAAAAATTGAACTCATCTCTGTATTCAGAAAGCTCACCAAAATGAAGGTGAGTTTGATTTATAATACTTAACGTTTTTTCATTTGTGTCAAATCCAAGAGAATTCAATTTTTGAGACCTCACTTATTTGTTGGACTAAAAAATCAGCTTCATAAAATGATGTCCAGTGGTATCAGACATTGTGACATAACATAAGTTTATAGTAGTAACTTCCTCTTGGAGTCAGTGTTTTTTTTTACTGATTAGTAATTTTTTAACAAAAAATAATGTGGGAAAATTTTTTCCTCACTTACTTGCAGAGTTAGGAAAAGAATTCATATGTCACAGAATGCTGGGAAAGATTCAGTTTTTTGGAAACACAGTTACAACCAGATAGTATCATTTATTTGCTTAATTTTTTGAAAGAATTGAGATGTGTTTTGTTTTTGATTGCCTTAATTTTAGGAATGTAATAATGTTTGGCTTGTAAAATCTTCTCTTCTAAGGGCTTAAATCCTGACAAGACAAAGAAGAACAGTAAGGTTTATTTTACTCTGTGACAGTTGAACAGTACTACATGAACTGCACATGACCTTTTTTTCTGATTTGTTTATCTTTTTAGAGTTATAGACATTAGTAAGAAGAATTTCAAGGCATTTTTCTGGTGGCTTTATGTGGGTAAGTTAACTTTAACATTGTTGTTTTAACACTTTTGAAAACTGTGGAAATACATCTTAGATTTGAATTAGTCTGTTAAAATTTCAAATACTTATAAAATAGTATAATGAGCCTCCTTGTTTCCTTCTTTCACCCAGCTTCAACTGTTGTCCATCTATGGCAGTCCTATTTCACCTACTCCATGCTTCCCCCATAGAAATATTAAAGCTAATTTGTAACACCTGTGCCCCTTACACTCACTAGTACAGTGATCCCTTACCTATCTTGGGAGTTAAGTTCCAGACAATCCCATGATAGGTGAAAGTCCCATGCTCTATTGTGGTTCACTTATTGCTCTGGAAAGTAACTACATGATAGGTGAGGGATCACTATTTCTGGTTTGTTTTGATTTGTTTTTTAAACTTGGGATGCAATGAAGCTACAATACAGCGAGGGACAACTGTATTTCCTTAGGTTAAAATTGAGTGTTTGAGCCCTTGCTATATATTGGGCACGGGTGTAAGATTTTCAAAAAGCCCTTCAGTAGCTTGTGTTACATTTTACACTCTGTTCTTCAGTCTCTGGAGCTGTGTGGTCCATGGTGGTAACCACTAACTAGCCTGTGGCTGTTGAATTGATTGAAATCATCTAAAATTACACATTCAGTCATGCAGTCAGGCTAGCCTCTTTGAAGTTCCTATGAGTCACAGATGATCAGTGACAGCACAGAACTGGGACCTTGCTATTACATTTTCATGGGCAGTGGTGCCCTTGCTAAGTGGTACATAGACTACTTTAAGACTTTCTTTGTAATGCCACCACGTCTTTGCCATAGGGTAGGCAGTTTAATTAACAAATACCTGTTGACTTCACATGAGATGGTTTGATCACCACTCTGAGGTACTTGCATTTTTTAGGCCCATTTATACTGCTATTTTTGTGAAGTATATTCTTTAAATAATGAAACAAACATTTCTCTCCAACCTACGAAACATTTGTTTTATGTCTCATATTTGTTAAAATGTAGAGTGAAATACAAGATAAATTCCTTTTGATATGCTAATACCGCAAAGTGTCCAGATGTTCAGTTCTAATATTACAAAAGCAGACTTTATGCTTGTCACTCTACTATAGTTACTTTTGTTTAAAACCTGTATGATTAATAGTTGGAATAGAGAACTGGAGTTTTTTCAGGCTAGCTTGTTGCAGATCTGAGTTTTAATTAGAATAAATTGCAATATTAAAAGTAGGAGTTTAGAAATCCTTTTCTCTGATGGGATTAGTGGTTTAGTTTTACTTATAATTATTGCGTGCTCTAAGCATCAGCAGTAGAAGAGCAGTGACTAACTGCTCAGTTCTTATCTCCAGAATGTGACACTGTTGACACCCTGGCTTTGTCACTGACACGAAGTTATAACTTTGTTGTCTTTTTTTGTAAAATGTAATTTCCATGAAGGTATTTTTACTGCTCTGTCCCCAGCAGCATAACCAATAAGGTTTTGTTTGGGGTGAGGACCAACAATCCTGAATATATTTCAGATCCTGATTAAGTCAGATTTTAGTTCATCTTTAGTTTAATTGTTCAAAGAGAAAGTTTTTTGTAGTTAAAAGAAACTGTTCAAATGGAAAATTTAGTTCAGTAAAACTCATTTGGTCTTTGAGGTATATCTGTAATAAAAAATTACATTTCTAGTTTCCTTTAAAGATAATTTTTAACTTTGTATTTCCAGCCATGTTGAGAATGACTGAAGACCATGTGCTTCCTGAGCTGAATAAGGTATGCACAGAAGTACGTATGGCCAGCCCTGCGTGTCAGCAGGTTCCATCTCAGTAGATTCAACCAACCACCAACGAAAAATATTCTGAAAATAATGCATCTGTTCCAAACATATGTACTTGTTTTTCTCTTTACTGTTCCTTACACAATACAACAATAGTTATTTACATTGTGTTAGGTGTTACAAGCACTCTAAATGGGATTTAAAGTGTACAGGAGGATGTGTTTTCTTATATAAAGATCTTGAGCACCTGTGGATTGTGTTATAAGTGGGGGTCTTAGAACCAATCTCTCAGATAACAGGGGACACCTGTGTAATTTCCTTTGTATTGTCCTGATTGAGCTCAGCCTTGCTCATGGTTTTGGTACTCTTACAGAGTTAGATAACAGGACATTGGGCTTTTAATCTAAAGAAATTTGAGTGTTTGCATAATATTTTCATCTCGCAGAATACTGTTACGGATATTTGAATTTACAATTTTCATGTTTGAATGAGGTTTTATAATTCTTACAACATAGCATCCTTATACTCTTTAACTGCCTTAAGTCTTTTTTATTGTGAAAATACTGTACAGAGGGGGTTACAATTACATGGGCAAGATAATGAGTACATTTCTTATCAAGCTTTGTAGCCTCCTCCTTTGTTTCCCCTTCCCATCCCATCCTCCCCCCCCCCCCTGCTCCCCCACCG